CGGCTGAATCAGCCCCTCGGTCTCCAGGCAGGAGCTGCTGCTCAGCACATTGAGGTCCTTCAGGGACCACCAAGAAGATGAACTGTGAAGCCCAGCAGTGCCAGAGGCCACACATTGAGGTCCTTCAGGGACCACCAAGAAGATGAACTGTGAAGGCCCGGCTCAGCGGTGCCAGAGGCCAAGCTGATCTATCAGCTACTTCATACCTACAGCATGGGATTAAATCTTAACTTTTCTTTGCATTTTTGCTGGGTATTTTCTGCTTTAGTAAGAGTCCCGCGATAACAGAATCCTCTGCCAGTTCCTTACAATGTGCATAAAGCCAAATAGGTGAAGTTCAAAGAGTACGCTTACGTCCTTGTTTCGTTTCCAGTAAGGTTTTGTCGTTTTCTAACATTGAAGACACATTTGAAAGCTCTAACGTAACTGTTCTGTGTTGGGGGAGAGGGCAGTGGAGTGTGGGGATGCAGGAAGGGTTTAAATCACTAAAAACACACATTTAGGACTATGTAAATGTTTGGATTAAGAAGTGTATTTCTAAAAATTGGGTGCAAAGTGCAAAATGGGATCTAAATATAGAAATGCAAAGAGCTAAGAAACCAGCCATGGTATTTTTCTGGGAAGAAGTTAATGCCTTTCGAAAAGAACGTTCCTCAAAAGACTGAATTTTCGCCATTTGTATTACTACCAGTGTAAAATAATACATGTCGAGTAGAATGTGCAAAATTAGGATTACTTAAAAGTTCAGTTCTGTCAAGGTTCTTGTTGGCAGTGAAGAATAAAAAGGTTATGAATCCTCTTGGAGCCATTTTATATTTCTAAAAGATATCTGTAGTGATTTGGTACACTCTTGTTCTATTGAATAAGTAAGTGCTCACACAGGGAGCCCTCCACGCGACCTTCAGTGGATTGTTATTTTTTTTCCTCCAGGTGGGGTCTCACCAGAGCAGAAGGGCAGAATCCCACACCTTGGTGGCCACACTTTCCTTTGCTGTCCTTCATTAGGACCTGGAGTGCTCCAGGTGGGGTCTCACCAGAGCAGAAGGACAGAATCCCACGACTTGGTGGCCACACTTTCCCTTGGTGTCCTTCATTAGAACCTGGAGGGTCTCCGGGGCCTCCTCTGGCCCCACTCCAAGAGATCCGTTCCTTTGCTGTCCTTCATTAGGACCTGGAGTGAAGGTTGAGCAGGACATGGGGACTCCAGCCCCCACCAGGAGGGGAAGCTGTGGCCCCCTCTTGGGAGCGGACAGAGCATCTCAAGGTCCTGGGTGTCTGCCACACAGCAGAGCTCTGTGGCCCCCACCTCAGCTGCTCCCACCATTCCTACCACCCTTCTGTGCCCCCACCACCTCCAGGGCCATACGAGCCTGTCACCACCAATCTCACCAGTGCCAGCATCACTGGGGGCACACACCTTCCCACCCCACGTCCTGCAGCAGGGTGCAGACAGGATCCCTGTGCCCCCCTCCCTGCTGGTGCCCCCTCCTCTGCAGAACCCTCCCCCTCTCTCCACCCAGTCTCATGAACTGGGAAGGAAAATCCCCCCCCCGCCCCCTTCCTGTGTTTCCATCACTCTCCAGTCTCCATGTTCCCCGGCCACATGAAAACCACCCCTTCCCTGGGGCACTGCTTCCCCTGGGGTGGGACATCTGCCACCACCCACCTTCCTGCTGTCACCCACCTGCCTCCTGTAGCATCACCGTCCCTTTGGCTGGTGCCTTGGGTCCCTTCTGACACCACTGCATTTTTACAGGCCCTTCTTATCCATCCTCACTGGCCTCAGCATCAGCTGAGCTTTGCCTTTCACCCCTGAGTAACATCTGGCCACTCCAAGGGCAGTGGTCTCCTGGGGGACGTTAAGAAGAGCATGAGCAGCAGGTGGAGGGAGGTCATCCCCCCCTCTGCTCTGCCCTGGGGAGGCCACAGCTGGGGCACTGGGACCAGTTCTGGGCCCCCCAGTACAAGGACAGGGAACTGCTGGAGAGAGTCCAGTGGAGGCTGCGAGGATGATGGACTGGAGCATCTCTCTGCTGGGGAAAGGCTGAGGGACCTGGGGCTGTTCAGCTGCAGAAGAGCAGACTGAGAGGGGATCTCATCGATGCTGAGCAAGAGCTAAAGGGCTGGTGGGAAGAGGATGGGGCCAGACTCTTCTCAGTGGTGCCCGGGGACAGGACAAGAGGTAACGGGCACAAGCTGGGACACGGGAAACCAAAACACCCCCTCGTGGTTCCCCTTGGACCTTCTCCCTCGTGCCTGCCACCTCCCTCCCACCTGCCTCCTGTAGCATCACCGTCCCTTTGGCTGGTGGCCTGGGTCCCTTCTGACACCACTGCATTTTTACAGGCCCTTCTTATCCATCCTCACTGGCCTCAGCATCAGCTGAGCTTTGCCTTTCACCCCTGAGTAACATCTGGCCACTCCAAGGGCAGTGGTCTCCTGGGGGACGTTAAGAAGAGCATGAGCAGCAGGTGGAGGGAGGTCATCCCCCCCTCTGCTCTGCCCTGGGGAGGCCACAGCTGGGGCACTGGGACCAGTTCTGGGCCCCCCAGTACAAGGACAGGGAACTGCTGGAGAGAGTCCAGTGGAGGCTGCGAGGATGATGGACTGGAGCATCTCTCTGCTGGGGAAAGGCTGAGGGACCTGGGGCTGTTCAGCTGCAGAAGAGCAGTCTGAGAGGGGACCTCATCGGTGCTGAGCAAGAGCTAAAGGGCTGGTGGCAAGAGGATGGGGCCAGACTCTTCTCAGTGGTGCCCGGGGACAGGACAAGGGGTAACGGGCACAAACTGGGACACGGGAAATTCCATCTCAAGACGAGGAGGAACTTCTTTCCTGTGAGGGTGGCAGAGCCCTGGCAGAGGCTGCCCAGGGAGGTGGTGGAGTCTCCTTCTCTGGAGACATTCAAACCCCACCTGGACACGTTCCTGTGGGACCTGCTCTGGGTGGCCCTGCTCTGGCAGGGGGTTGGACTGGGTGGTCCACAGAGGCCCCTTCCAGCCCTGGCCAGTCCGTGATGCCTCCTGGTAGCCCAGCCCTGCTTCCACTTTTGATGATCATCTTTTTCACAGCTGAGCTCAGGCAGGGGCTCCCCCTTGGGCCACAGCAGCCTCCTGCCTCAGCTGCACCGAGAGTGAGAATTTTGGGGGTTTTGTCCAGCACCTCACATGTTAGTCAAGGTAAAAAAACACAAACAACACTTCATTTTGGTTGGAAAAAATCTGTATTCCCATCCCATGAATCACATCATGTCCCACCCCTGCCCCTTTATGTATAAAATACTGGTAAAAAGGGTTTTTTTTTCCAGAGGCAAGTTCGTTTCCACAGAGTCCTCCTGGGAGAGAGCGGTTCCTGCAGCGGCTGGATCCCTGCTGTGCCCCAGGCGTTGGGAAGCAGAACAGCTCTGCTGAGGGAAACGTCGTCTTTCGTAGGAAAAGGAGCTTCCTGGGGAGCTGCAGCAGCAGCGTGTGAAGCCACCGGGTTCCAGCTCTGTCCCAGTCCATGTCAGAGGGACCCTCACCCCGTGCTGTGACCATGGCACACAGGAGTGACTGAGGGTTGGAGGGTTTCACACCCACTGAGAGAGCACAGAAGCTCCTGTGAGTGATTTGAGAGTCCACACGTGGCACAAATGTGAAGTTGCAGATCATCAGATCCAGTCACATGAGTGATTCCTTCAGGCCCCACACCCCACCTTCAGACACGGTGAACAGCCAGGATACTTTGCATCCAAAAAGGACATTGGCTACACGAGGACAAGGAGACTCAATAAATGAACAGGGAAACGCGTTTAAATGCCAAGCTGGTCTCAAAACCAGAAAAAAAAAATCCAGTTCTAATTATTTTATGGCTCCACAAGCCAAAATAGGAAAACAAATTGGCCCGGGTCCCACCTTGGTGTAAGAGAAATCCTGCTACGCCAGGTCACAACTCTATGAGCTTCAGACACCATCAAGTGCCATCCTCTAAGCACTAAAGCATAAAGTTATAAAATCAAGGTGGAATTGGACCAGTTTATCAGAACAGAAAAAGATTTGCCAGGGATCCCTCACAAGGTGCCCACCTGACCTCATGGAAGATGGTCTCCCAACTGAGTCTGCTAAGCCTATTCAGATTTCATATGTAAAATAAATTTAAGGTAAGTTTAGGTTAAAGATCCAGTAAGACAGATGATCTCCCACAGAGACTTTTCTCTTTTCCTTTTGAGTCCCCAGTCCCTCAGGCTCATGTGAAACCTGTTCTGGGCTTGGTCTGCTGCTGGGTTTCCTTGGTGAGGAACACGAGGAGCCCAAACCGCATGAGAAGCATCAAACACCCCGAGAAGCACCAAACGAGGTGCCAGGAGGTGTGTGGGACACGGGACATTCGACAGGCACCAAGGCTTCTCCTGCTGAACCATGTACAGGGTTCTCTGGGCATTGGTGGCCTTGGCTTCCCCTCCCGCAGCCACTGGTGCTACCTGCTGGCCCATTGCTTGCCCCAGGCTCCCAGCAGGAAGCCAACTGGGCAAACTGGGCACTCTCACCTGGGCACACCACAGCACAGGGGCCAGTCCATGCCACTGTACACCAGCAGGGTTCACTCGCCCGCATTAACTGAAATCCATGTTTTACTGTTATTAACAAGACGATCGCAGCCAGGAGGATACAGAATTTGTGATCTGTCACTAGAGACCCACCACCATTCCAGACAGGAAAAAAAAAAATAACAGGATTTCCAGCACGATGCCCCATCATCTGAATATGGCACTGTCCCACACCTGGAGAAGCTCCACACGGATGGGGATGGGGATGTTCCTGGGGCTGACTGAAATGGATGGTGCCCAAAACCCCGGGACGACCACTCTGAGGGAGCCCCTGCAGCCTGTGGGGAGGGGGCACCGTATTTAAAGGATGCAGCATTTCACAACCGTTGATGTGTGACCCTGGACAGGTACCTGCAGCCAAGGAGATGGGTCTGAGCCACCGTGGTCTCTGCGAGAGCAGCCTTCACAGTCAACGCAAAGAACACCCTTCCCAGGGATGAGGGATGTCTCCATCCCAAGGCACCTCACTGCAGGAAACTCTTCTGATCACACTGATTTTAGGTGAAATGTCTGTTGCCCCGATCCCAGTTACTCTGAACACAAAGAGTGGCCCAGAGCCTGTTCCACTCCCATGAACATAAACCCCATGAGTCCGAGCTGAAGCGCAGCGAGGGCTTGTCCACTTCATCAATTGAAAAAAACCACCAGCTACGGAGCACAAACCCCAGCCAACCACCTCAGAAAGTGAATACAATGCACCAAAGCACTAAAAATGTCAGAATCTTACAGTTTTCGGAGGCTGGGTCTGGGATGAGGCAGAGGGAGAGGACGCAGCCCTGATGCTCAGGCAGGAGCACAAGGTTCAGCTTCCACTGAGAAGCAGTGGGGCATAAAAAGGTAAGAAAAACATACCTTAGAGAGAGGTGTTTCAGCCTAAACCAGGAAGATCTGTGCTGGTTAATACTGTATGCATGAACAAAAAGCTTGCTGAGGTTGTAACCGTGCTGTAAGACCCTTCCCCACAAACCCTTCTCCCTCCAGGCAACGCGGGGAGTTTCTGGAGGGGAACCCTTCACCTCCCGCCTCTTTTTGCACAATTACTCCACCAGGAACACGTCCACGGTGCAAAATTCCCCTCGGTGGCATCCTTTCATTGCCAAATATAGCGATTTAGGTCACTTCTAGCATGCACAGGAAAGGCTCAACTGCATCCTCTCATCCCAGCCCAAGAGGCCACTCGTACCCTGCAGCACAGCGGGGGAAAACGTTCCCTTCTGCTTCCTGCTTAACCAGACTCTGACGCTGGCAGACAGCGAGGTGGGAGCAGTAAAGGTCAGGGCAATTTCCACAGGGCCATTCCCAACTACAGCGTCCCCAGAAAAAGTCGTTTCCCTACATGCTTTCCACGTGAGGTGTGTCCAAGTGTGGTTTGTAAACTCTGAAGTTCAGGGGGGATGGGGCTCGGCTAAAGCGGCGCTCGGAGGAAAGGGCACTTTGGAGGACAGTCCATCTTGCTCCAAGAGACCATCTCCTCCGGCAGGCAAGAAGTCAGCAGCTCATGTCAGGTACTGCACGACGAGGAACATAATTACACAAGTCAAAATCATTCCCCCGATCATGAAGTATTTGTCCTGAAAGGCTCGTTTCTCAATCAGCCGCATCACTGTGTTGGATAAGCCCAACATGTTGGCAACATCCAGGATCTTCTTATGAGTGCCCTAAGAAGAAAAAGAGAACAAAGAAACAATTAACCTCGTGGTCCAACACTCCTTATTCCACAGTCCAAAGATTTCATCACAGATGGCAAGTGATGGATTCGGATTGATGGAACTTGGATCAGCCCACAGTTCCCACAACTGAAGGGGAGATGGGCATGGGTCCCTGGAAACAGCAGGATGATGAGAACGGCTTCAAGCTCCAACAGGGTGGGTTTAGATTGAACATTAGGAAGGAATTTTTCACCCAAAGAGTGGTCGGGCATTGGAACAGGCTGCCCAGGGAGGGGGTGGAGTCCCCATCCCTGGCTGTGTTTAAGGGCCGTTTAGATGCAGTGCTGAGGGACATGGTGTAGGGGAGGACTTTGTAGAGTAGGGGAGAGGGTTGGACTCGATGATCCCAAGGGTCTCTTCCAACCTCGATGATTCTATGATTCTATGATTAATTCACACACATGAACAGGAATGTGGTAAAAGATACAAAACAATCTCTCCAGACAGAGACATTATAGAGAGCGGCTCAGAGAAAACACGCTCCCTGCGGAGCCATTAAGAGTTTTTTCTGGTCCTTTTCCAGACACAGTCTGAAGAGCTTGAAGCTTCTTGGTCAGGCCATTCCTTCAGGACTTCCCTCCTGCTGAGGTACAGTCCACGCCAACAGAGACTGAGAAGGAGGTCCAGAAACTTGTAAGGCTCATGGTAGAGAGCAAAGAAAAGGCACATGAAAATGTAATTAGTGCAATTTCAATAAACCCTTCAGGAGAAAAGCACTGGAACAGACTGGAGCAGGTCACTGCAGGCAGGCCCTCACCTCGGGTGTGTTACACTGCTGACAGTTGGTGTTACTGAGAACGTGGATCCCACCAGTCACCAGATGACAGGAAAACCCAGTGAGATGCAGAACTGGAGGTACCAGGAAATGAGCTGAGGGAGTGACTGCTGCAGTGCAGCAGGAAGCATCTACCTTATTTCAGGGCAACAGTCAAAGGAAACTGTGGAATTTGTATTTCAGTCCCTGACGAAATACAAATGTATTTGTATTTCTGTATGTCTGATAGAGCTGATGTAAATTCTTTCATCAGAGAGCTCTTCAGATCTTAAGTTAGGCTGAAATTCAAAACCATTCCCAAATTTCACCCTTTTATTCTTCTGAGACCAAAGATATAGTCTCCTTTTATTCTTCTGAGACCAAAGATATAGTGGACTGTGAAAACGGAAGGTTTTTTATTATTTTACAGTTAAAGGTTAGTAGTAGAGCATTGTGGTGGGAATCTGTGCTTTGACCTTGCTCAGAGAAGAAATAGCTGAAGCCTTAGAGCTTCCTGAAGCAGGTGTTTTTTAAGGACTTGGACCCAGAAGTCACTCTGAGAGAGCAGGTCCGTGCCGATGGCTGTGAGAGCTGCTCTCAGCAGCACCCGTCTGTGCACACCCAGCTGTGATGGAGGCACATCGTGGACGGTTTCTCTCTGATTCCACGTTGTGAGCACAGAGCAGCAGCTCTGCTGGCCTGTCCAGGTGCTACCCACCTCTCTGTCTCATCTCACCGACCTGCACCACCCAGGAGTTCTCTCCCTGCTTCCCTGAGGGGATGGGCCTGCTCTGACCTGTGCCCAGTGCATGGCTTTGGAACCCAAATTTTCTGTTTTCTTGGTCTTACCCAGCCAAGGCTTCTGTCATCATGGAGTCATAGAGTGGTTTGGGTTGGAAGGGGACTTAAAGCCCCCCCAGTGCCACCCCCTGCCCTGGGCAGGGACACCTCCCACCACACCAGGTTGCTCCAAGCCCCCTCCAACCTGCCCTTGAACCCCTCCAGGGATGGGGCAGCCACAGCTTCTCTGGCCAACCTGGGCCAGGCTCTCACCACCCTCACACCAAACAAGTTCTTCCCCACATCTCCCCGCTCTCTGACGAAAGAATTTACATCAGCTCTATCAGACATACAGGCACAGCCTCAATCCATAAAATCTACAGATCTGCAATGCCAAATGAGGTAACATGATTTCAGCAAAGGGCCTGCAAACCTACTCAGCCTTTACCAAAGAAACTGGTTATGTCTCAGCTGGTAAAACAATCAAATTTTTCACCTTCGTTTCATCCACCTCACACTAAACCCCTGGATCCTACACTTACAACTGCAGCACTTCTCTCCGCAGCAATCTTTTCCCACTACTTCAGAACAAAAGAAGACCAGGCTTGGAGAAGAGAAACCAAAAAGCAATAGGACAGTGAAGACTCTTCAATTCTTGCAGTCCGTGGAGCAGTGGAACAGTGCAACTGGAACAGTTAAGTCCTTGTGGCAGTTTGGGAATACTTGGTTCATACCTGTCTATTTATATCCAAAATCCAAGTAGTTACATGGATGAACATGCTCCCAAATGAACCCATTTATCTCGATAAGCTGCCTCTGTGCTGGCTGCCTCTGCCAGACTTGTAAATGAGCCCCAAAGTCTTTGAGAGAGTGAGAAAAGCCAAGCTCAGGGGCAAAGGGTATGAACAGATGTTTCCTCATACGCGAGTGAGAAGAAATATCCCCCTGAAAACACAGGAACGTGACGCTCCCAGAATTAGAGACACACCAACACCTTTGCTGTCACAGCTCTGACCCGAGTGTCCTTGACGTTCCACAGCCCAGGCAGGGTGTGCTCACCAGCATCAACTCCCACTCCTTGCTTCAACAAAAAAACCACAAACCAACCAAAAAAAAACCACCAACCCCTAAGGGAACAAACTAGGATATTCCGCACACCAGATACTAACTGCTGTGTGGGTGAAGATTGCACAGCAATCCAGCCACAAAAAGAGCCTAAAGATACTCCTAATAAGATGATAAAAAGTCAAGATTTCAGGTTTAGTTAAATGGAGTTTGGGCCTTTCCCAGCATTCTCAGTCAGAAACATGTGCTGCCAGAACCGTCTTTATTTTACTCAGCCTGGTCATCACGAACGCGAGAAAAATGGGGGGTCTTTTGGGGAAAAAAAAGTGCTGCCCCCACCTTTAATGTCATTCTCTGGTCCCTCAGCCCCTGCAGGATGTTGGTGCCGCTGCCGATGAGGTCGTCCATGCCGCGGTGGGCATTCTGCAGGGACTCGTTAAACTGCAGCGTTTCGTCGATGGGGATGGTGGTGTCAGAGTCCTGTGGGGGAAACGCAGGGTCTCGGTTACCTCCTCACCCACTGCCCCCACAGACAGAGCCAGAAAAAGGACATGCAGAAACAGACGTGGCAAAAAATGGACAGGATTTGAAGGATTGTGTTTTAAACATATTTTTTTTTTTGTAAGGATATTAAATACAGCATCGATGGGGATGGTGGTGTCAGAGTCCTGTGGGGGAAACGCAGGGTCTCGGTTACCTCCTCACCCACTGCCCCCACAGACAGAGCCAGAAAAAGGACATGCAGAAACAGACGTGGCAAAAAATGGACAGGATTTGAAGGATTGTGTTTTAAACATTTTTTTTGTAAGGATATTAAATACAACGTTAATATTCGAGGGGAAAAAAGGAATTTAGAGAAGCCTAGAGGAAGCAAGCCAAAAGGCAAAGTTCAGCTATTCGACTGCAATTAGGTCTCAAAGGATAAATACTCAGATTAAAAGTGGAGAATATTTTATAGTCTCAGTTTATGATGTGTAGGAAAAGAGTATTCCAAGAGAGAACATCCAAATGAACAGAAGGTGTTTAACAAGGAGTGATTTGATCATTGCAAGAGAAGGACTTTCGAAAGGTTTAATATCACATTTCTAAGTGAGAAAAGGCCTCAACACACAGTGTTGGGGAGATGACATCCTGTAAGTTTACAACATGGCGCAAGTTTCTGATAGTGAAGGCAAACGGACATGGACCTCGTTCCCTGAAGGGCTGACTCACCCAACACCCAAGGCCTTATCTAAAAAAAATTAATAACTTCACATTTTTCCAGAAAAGAAGCATCAGCACAACTAGAAACTATGAATCTTGACACGGAAATAACTGGATAAAATCCTGTAACGTGGATGACACAAGAGCCAGAGGATGTGATCGCTTCTGTCTTCCAAAGGCCTCCAAGTCTGATCTTCTCTGGACACCATTCCATGGGAGAGGAGCCCATCACCCATCGCCCCACGGTGTTGTACCCCTGGTGAGCGTGGGGTGTGGGGACACTCCCAGGCACTCACAGCAGCCTCCAAACTGCAGAACTCATCTTTGGGCAGAAGATGGTGAAACCCACACCCAACTGTCAGCGCTCGCTCACACGCAGGTGACACCAGACTTGCTCTGAGTAGCCCCTGGCAATCAGTGCTTAAGAAAAATGTTAATATTTCAATGACACGTGCGATCCAGTGTTAGATGCTGCTCTGCCTGGGGGGGCCCTGCTCCCTGTAAAAGGATGAAGAATAAAGCACAGAGCTGGTGGCAGAGAGAGCCCAAGGTACTGGATGAAGAAGCCACGACATCTCATCAGATGTTAACGAAGCGCTGAGACGAGCTCCCACAGGAGCCTGCAGAGCAGAAGCACCTGGATTTGCACCTGAACGGCTATTGTTTAAGATATTTATTAAACTTCAAATCAGCAGGGACTCCACTTCCTATAAGAGGAGCTTGTAGGGTTATTTTCGTTTGTGTTTTTTTTAACAACGAGGTAGCAAGAAAAATATCAAAGCAGATTTTTGACCCTCCTCACAGTTAGATTAGATGGGATCATCTTTCATTTGCTGTTAGTGGTTTTCTCCAGAATGGCACTGGGGAAGGCTTTAAAGATAAAGGCCATATTTATCTTCAAATGGAGCAAAATGTTCAGAACAGCTTTCAAAAGCTGTTACGTGTGTTACAGCGATTTATTCAGGATGTTTACATGCTCAGCTGACATTTCTATTTAATAGAACAGGATAGTATTTAAATAGAAACTATGTACATTTCTAACCAAAAACAGATAGGCCAATAACTGACAAATATATCATCATCTTCCTATTAGAGGATCATTCCTTGAAAGTCACATGTTTGTAACAAGTTAAAAGAAATACAAAATAATCATGCCTTTTTTAATTCATCCTGAGACACCTTTCAACATCTAAAGGAGGAAAAAAAAATTCACCAGTTATTTTGCATTCATAATAAAAAGAAATACAAAATAATCATGCCTTTTTTTATTCATCCTGAGACACTTTTCAACATCTAAAGGAGGAAATTTTGCATTCATAATCCTGCTGCTACTGCTCTTCAAATCTCTGCCACTTACAAACAGGGTTTTTTTCTGAACAAGTTTTCCTTTAGCAAAATTTCTCCACATTTGCAGAGGAAAACTCCAGTGTTTTAAAAACAGATCAACTTTCAAGTTTCAGTGTTCCTTTCAAGGCTTGTTTATAATTTCTAAATAGGCAACAAAATGTTGGATGTCATCTTTATGTCAGGCTTCCAGAAATCCCAAACCTTCCCAAATCCAGAGAACTTCCCACTCACATTCATAATTAATGGTAGGTTACATGTCTTTAACAAAAAAAAGAAATCAACCCCACAACATTTAAAAAAAAAAACAAAACAGCAAAAAACCCCAAACAAAACCAAAACCACAAAAAAAAAAAAAGGACTCACTTTCGAGTTGCAGAAAAAGTGAAATCTCAAAGCAAACCAACATTATTCAGAGCAAAATTCCTCTAGGAATTTGCACTGGGGGGGAATTCCCAGTGGAGGAGAACAGGTGAAAACACATTCCTGTTATTAAAATATTTTTAATCATTTAGAGATAAAAAGCAGAGTTTTCCCAGCTGTGTGATTTATATTTGGGCGAATGCCAGCTCGCTGACATCTACTGCCAGCAGGGTGTACAAAAGCCAGACATTTTACAAGTTTCAGGATTTGACAAAGACATTTGACATAAATCCAAGTAAAATGGATACTTCGGTACCCACCTCATTCGCCCTTTGGAAACTACCAAGTCAAACGGGGTAAAATAGAATCAACAGTTTCTGGAGCTGACTCTTGCCTCTTAATAGCCCAAATTTCCTCAGGAAAGTTGAACTTTTTCAACACGTATTATCATTCTTTTCTATCTTTATTCTATTTCCATCACCCAGCCGCAACCTAGTAAGAGTCGTGCCTTTGTCTTGCCTGAAACTTCTCTGAAAGACTATGGCTTCTAGAAGACAGGAGGTGTAAAATAAGAAATATTTACATTGGTGGTGAACGTGCGCGCGAGCAGCTCCTCCCGCTGCCGCTCCTGCTGCTCCCGGACGTACCGGCGATGCTGGAAGTTCCTCAGAGCTGTCTGCAGGTGCTGGACGTCGTACTTCAGCTGGTCAACCCGCCTAGAAAGGATCAACACCAGGGATAAAGATACCACTCTTTTCTGGTGCTTTTTGTATGAACAACCATAGAATGGTTAGAGTTGGAAGGGACCTTGAAGATCATCAAGTTCCAAATGGAGCATTATAAATCGACAGTGATGAATAATAAATAGTGATGGGTTCTACTTATCTAGAAGACAAAGGACATTTAATGTTAGGCCAAAATTTCAGACTTAGATCTCCCATTCCTCGGTTTTCTACCAAAGAGACAGTGTGCCCAGGTGGCCAAGAAAGCCAATGGCATCCTGGCTTGTATCAAAAATAGTGTGACCAGCAGGAGTAGGGAGGTGATTGTGCCCCTGTACTCAGCACTGGGGAGGCCACACCTCGAGTGTTGTGTCCAGTTTTGGGCACCTCAATCCAAGAGAGATCTGGAGGTGCTGGAGCGAGTGCAGAGGAGGCAACGGAGCTGGTGAGGGGGCTGGAAAACAAATCGTATGAGGAGCGGCTGAGGGAGTTGGGGCTGTTTAGTGTGAGGAAGAGGAGGCTGAGGGGAGACCTCATCACTCTCTACAACTTCGTGAAAGGACACTGTAGAGAGGTTGGTGCTGGTCTCTTCTCACAGGTAATTAGTGACAGAACGAGAGGGAACGGCTTCAAGCTCCAACAGGGGAGGTTTAGATTGAACATTAGGAAGGAATTTTTCACCGAAAGAGTGGCCGGGCATTGGAACAGGCTGCCCAGGGAGGGGGGGGAGTCCCCATCCCTGGCTGTGTTTAAGGGCCGTTTAGATGCAGTGCTGAGGGACATGGTGTAGGGGAGGACTTTGTAGAGTAGGGGAGATGGTTGGACTCGATGATCCCAAGGGTCTCTTCCAACCTCAGTGATTCTATGATTCTAAGAGGTGATTAGTTCACTGGAGGCCAACGACAGAATGTGAAGCAGAATTCTTGAGCTGTCTCAGACACTCCTACTCCACGACCAGTCTCTTCAGGAGAACAGTCATTTAATGAAAATTTGAGAAGATGGTAGGATTTGAACAGTTTCTATTTTATGACCCTCCTGCACATAAAGATTAAACTTTCAAGTTTCATTAATTAGCACTATATTCTTAAGCCTGAGTTTTTGTTAAAAGAAGTTTAAAAGTCAGTGGGCAATACAGGAGACATCTCCATTAGCTTAAACAAATAACATCCAAAACTCCATTGCCTCTGCTTGATGACTATAAAGAAAGCCTTGATGACTATTTCAGATACTGACCTCGCTGATACAGGTGACATGAAATCTACCCCCGGTATCTACAGAGGCATTTGGGGACTCAATGTTAATAGCAGAGTTACAGAATAAATTAAAACAGAGATCTGAGGTCTCTGGTCCAACCTCCTGCTCAAACTTTAGAAACTTCCTTATTTTAGTCGCCAACAGCCAGTAAAATGGTCAATAGAAAATGACACCCAGTGAAGTAATTTTACTCCTTACTTGCACAAATGCCATTAAAAGCAATTGCCATATAGAGTAGAGATTTTTCTGAGCCTCCAAGTGCCACGTTCTGCTCATCTCAGAACAGAGCCATGAATCCAGCTCCATCACCCCTCTGTGGTTAAATGCAGGACGTTATTTTTGCTTCTGAGCCTCTATTTTGCTACTGGAGAGCACAGAGATAAGTTATGCAAAGTACAAAGGTTACCACTCAAATCAAAAGGCAAAGGGCTCCAATAAACTTAATGAAAATAATTACAAAGACTACACTACCCTACCACAGCAAGGAAGGTGAACTTACAGTTTAGCATTCTGCCGCTTATTGGGAGGTTCTTTGCTGGACAGGATTTCCAGACGTTCCAAGTTGCTGAATATATTGTCTATTCTTGCCTGAATCTCATTTTCTACTACTGCAAAGAAATAAAAATGTAATTTGAATTGAAGAACTGCAATCTGAGTGAAGGTAAAAGCTCAAAAGCATTCGAACCAGTATTTAAAACGTGACAGAGGCAAATCCACACTGGGTGAAAATCAGGTAACTGAGCACTATGTATATCATGAAAAGCCACTTCTTTAACTCAGTGATTTGAGGCTCTTGCATTTCCCTCCTCCTCCAAGGAGAGAGCCAGGAAAGCCTCTGCTCCTCCTAGATATCAGAGCCTTTTTCCCCTATCAGCTCCATGGATTAGGGTTTAAAGCTCCCACATTCCCCCTTGCAGCTCCTTCCTGTTCCCTTGGCAGGATTTGCTCACAAAAGAAAATAAGATATAACATTATACTACACAATATATAACAGCAAAGACGATTCTCACAACAATGGCAATTTAAACCTCTGAAAACTGTTAACACAGAGTTAACATACACTGTCCATACATCAACATTATACTACACAATATATAACAGCAAAGACGATTCTCACAACAATGGCAATTTAAACCTCTGAAAACTGTTAACACAGAGTTAACATACACTATCTATACCCAACTCGGAGCTGAGAGGAATGGGCAGACTGGCCAAGGAGCTCAGAAAGAGGTGGCCAACCAAGGCTGAGCAGCCCTGGCAGGTGGAAAACAAGGCCACAAAATAATCACCTCTGTAATCATCTACCTTGCAATTGCTTCTGATAATCTGCACTGGAATAGCAGAGGGGCAATAGTACACAGGGCAAACTCAGGTACTTGTACTTTAATGAGGTGGGACACTGATACAGCCGGGGAAGGAGCGACACGGTGTCGGTCACTGCGGCTGTTTTACAGCAGAACTCGGCACCAGCCACAGCCCCCTTCTCCATCTGACATTTTCTAACCACGGCACAGCCCAGCATTTCCCAATGGAAGGAATTGCACAGAAGGATGAAAGACGGGAGCACCATTAATGACCTGACATTCCTACATAGGGTGAGCTGCGAGGCTGAAGGTCGCACCCTCCGGAGCGTGTCCCCAGACCCATCATTAGAGGACAGAAGCACCACCATGTCCATGGGGGCATGAGGAGAGTCCTGGGGTCTTGGACTGCTGTGGTCTAGACATGATATAAATAATGAGCAAATCCTACAGGCACCATTTGTTCTTATTTTGAACTTAGACTAAAGAGGGATCCAGAAAAACAACATTAACCAACTTCCAACTTCTCCACTTATCTCAGGACTTTCAATTCAATTCAATTTCATTAACTCAATTCTGTGACTTCACAGAAAATCGCATTTGGCAGAACTTGGAAAAGCAAAGAGCAGATACAGCCCCTTCTCTTTGCCCTTTGACCTCAGACAATCAAAGAGTATCTAACTCACACATATAGAAACAAATCAACCAAATTGTCCTAATTCATCTCTTCAGACAGACAATTACATCTTACACTTTTCTGAGCAAGAAGGGATTATTTGCCTCAAGTTGGAAGGGGAAAGCTGACAATAGAAAGTTTGATTTCCTGGCTCCTACTCCTGCTCTTCAGCCAAAAGATAATCCTTTTTCACATAAATTCTGAAATACACATTAATATCTAGAGCACATATCTCTATCTTCATATATAGAGAGAAAGAGAATGTTCATTTATTGACTATGGAAGATGGTACACAAATACCATCTCCTGAAACCATCTCAAGCAGCAGAGGCAAGATGGCAAATTATGCTAATTTTCAAGAGGTTCCAAAATCACATCCAGTGAACAGCAGGCTGGGAAGTCTGGCATCTAACTGGGAGTAGTACAACCACCACAAAAAACAGAACCAGTAGATAAGTCACTATTTTTGGATAGGAAAGTTATCGCAGCCCTTTCTCCAGGGAAGTCGTGCTTCACAAATACATTTAGGGTAACAGAAGTCAGTCAGCACGTGCAGAAATGTTGCCAGTCAAGAGTCCTGTCACTTCAGAAGTTCCTGATGAGGCCCATTAGCAATTACTCATATATCAATTAAGGCTTCAAACACAGGTCCAAAATACATTTGCCAATTCTGCACCAGGGTAAAAAGTCCTGCCACAACATAACACAGTATTTTATTACAGTCATTTCATTAGCACAGGGTTATAGTCCAAATTGACTGAAGTAATTCCAGACTTGGCTGTTCTACATATTTCTCGTAAATAGATGAAATTACAGGTTCTGACTCTGATGCAAGCAGGAACTACCAGAATCATCCTGCTGAAATTCCTGCACACCAAATCATGGCATTTTCCCCAGAACCCGGACTAAGCACCTTTTGGGTAATACTGCCAGTTAGTGGATGCTTAAGGAATAGCAAAACAACAGGACAGACCCAAAAACACATTTCAAAACTTTCTGAGCTTGTAACAAACTAGCCTGGCAATGTCCTCAACGTGCAGTTCTGTCCACATCAGTGTGCTGGTTACACCTCCCTGAAATCATCAATGGGGGTGTTTAACCTGTTTGTGTCACAGGCCTCCACAGCACACCCCGACAAAGAGCTCCGGGATCCACCAGCACCAAAACATCTCCGGCATTCCCAGAGCAAGGCACTGCAGGAGCATCCACAGTAAGCACTAGCTGCCAATTAAAGAAGTGTAACAGGAAGATGATTTGATGTAAATTCTTGTGCTGTCTTTTCCGTTCTGTCCTTCCTAAAAAACATTGCTTCATTTTAGTCAAGTAGTAAAATAATTTGAATTCATTCTAAATTGGTGATGTGTCTCACCAGTTGATCCCAATGACTGAAGAGCCAAATTGTTCCAATAATGATTGTAAATACAATGCTACATCATATAAGGTTAAAGATGCAAGCTAAATTAAATTAGTATTGAAGCAGGACTTTTGTCATTAATTAATTACTTACAGTGTACTGACTCTTTGTCTGAAGTCTCCAGGCGCCCCATGTAAGATTGGACCTCATGGACTTGCCTGTCAAAAGACAAAGAGTAAATTAACACAAGTCAGTTAACAGCTACAGAATCAAATCAACTTTTCCATACCTCGGTTTTCAATTTCGTTTACTTAAAAGTAATTTTTAGAACAAAACGGGAATCAGCTACATGGTATTCAGTGGAGACAGCCCACCACTGAACACAAAAAACAACACAGTTTTTCAGTATGAAGAAAGCTGTACCCTCACTTAATGTGCATCTACAAAATAACTTCCAGTTTAAAAACAAAACTCAAAGTGAAAGGACTTTTTCTTTCTTCAAAGATTTCCAGTCCAGTCCTAGCTCCCTTTTCATATTTATAAGCTGAACTGGGGCTGTCCCCCGTGTCACACACCTGACACGCTGAAAGTCACCAAGATCTACCTACTCCAAGACAACCATGGAGACAACCATGGAGACAACCATGGAGACACCCATGGAGACAACCATGGAGACAACCATGGAGACAACCATGGAGACAACCATGGAGACAACCATGGAGACAACCAGGTTCACACTCAGAACCCACACGTGGGGAGCACGGCAGAGGGAAGATCCAACAGGGAGAAGAGTTGGTGCAAGTGAGACATTGATAATAAATCTGCAGTGAAATATTACCTAAGTCCACCACTAAAGTCAAGAGTGTTGATGAGATCCCACACCTTTATGTCACTGAATAAATGGGCACATTTTCAACACTAAACACAGGTTTTGTCTCTCACTTCTCAAAAAGAAAACCAAAGAACCAGCAAAGGTTCACAGAAAGACAATAAAGATGAAAAGTACAGAGCAGCTTTTATACAAGAAACTGTTCAGTTTGGACTGGAGGTGAGAGTGGGGAGATATCCTACAGCATAAACAGCACAGAAGAAAGTGAATAAGGAGTAACTTTCACTGTCTCTTACAACATATGAATTACAGAGGTACCAAATGAAACCAAAATATAGCTTAAAATTGAAGAGAAGGAATTCCTGATGTTTGACAAGCAGTAGCAAAAGAAAAAAAAAAAAGGAAAAAAAAATACCCTAAACACTGATGGTTGTTAAATTCCTCTGTTTCAAGAAGCCCCCAGGCCTCACATTTCTGGGAGACTGGGACAATATTCAAGAAAAGTGTTTGACCATTTCTTACTGTCTGTCCTAGGGATCTGTGTTAGGCAATGCTTAGCACACACTGGAACAGACGGACCTTTGGCCATTCTGGGTGTGAATAATCTCATAGCAGCTGGGGTTCCGACTTCAAAAATATACTTAAAGTTATAAAAATATCACGACCTTTTTTTTAAAAAAAAACCAAACATCCAAGAGATCATAATTTTGGTCATATTAATGGATTCTTTTTCTGGTGTGTGCACCATTTGATAACTGCAGCACAAATTTTTATGAAGCCAGACCTCTGAAACCAAATTACCTCACAGAGTAATAAAATATTTACTCTTCAGTTATTACATGAGATTTTTTTTCAATAACTATCAGGGCTACCTTCCAAATCACAACACTGAGCTGCTAAAGAGAGAACTGAGTATGACACAAGTACCATACTACTTAGAATTAACTACAGAAGCAATTCAATAGCTAGTATCTTGAAAAGCCATACTTGTTCTACAGTTTCATTCTCAATTGGTTTCTCTAGGATCCCCCAGACAGCTTGAGACTCACATTGCTCTTAAAATGCCTCTCTAGAAACCCAAGAATAAATCAGTCCATATGCAACTGGATCAGAAAAACTACATCACGCTCACTAGGACTCTTCCTATGGGGAAAAGGTGGGAAGAGAGTTTAAAAATTCAGAGTATCCCCAAACTGACAACAAACTACAACAGAAACACAACTCAGCCACTACGATCCCCAGAGAAGCTGTGGCTGCCCCATCCCTGGAGGGGTTCAAGGGCAGGTTGGAGGGGGCTTGGAGCAACCTGGGCTGGTGGGAGGTGTCCCTGCCCAGGGCAGGGGGTGGCACTGGGGGGGCTTTAAGGTCCCTTCCCACCCAAACCATTCTGTGATCACGGAATATGTCAATGCAGAAATGGAAACAGGCCAAGATTAGCCCCCTTACTAATTACAGTTAACATTATGGGTATGCTTTTCTAGATGAAAAGGACTTCCTGCTCTTCCCTACAGGGTCACCCCATACCGTTATTCAGAGAAAGTCTCTTTCTTACCACTTGACGTCCTTCAACAGAGCTCAACAAAGAAAACCACGACCACTGCAAGTTGGAATAGTTGCATTAACTGTCTCTTTCGGCTCCTTCCCACAAGCTATTCTACATCACACACAACTGCAAGATTTTTTGCCATTTTTATACCTCACCAGATTACCATCATCTGTGAAACAGAACAGGTTTTGTCATCATGGGATCACACACTTCCCGATGTGGCTTAAATTGCCTCTGCCAGCCACCATGAAACACCTACACGCCATAAAAAAAACCCAACGAAATTCGCTTGCCTTAAATGTATGTACATCTAGTAGCACAGAAGCCCCTATTTGCGGTGAATACTTGCAATTCCGTGCTTTAAAATCCCGAGGCTAGCAGGCTTTGCTGGCTTTGGGACTGACGTGGCTAACAGCAGGCTCTCTGGACAGACAAACGGCCAGCCCGGAGGGACAGGCTTTTCCTTCCTTCCTTCCCTCCCCGGCTGAAGCACAGTCCTCAGGACAAAGCTCCGGGGCGGGAGGCGGGAATTTTTATGAGAGAAAAAGCTTCTGGAGGGCGCTGAGCGCGCCGGGGTCTGCACCCTCGGGTTCTGCACCCTCACGCTCTCCCCCCACCGCCTCCCAGGCAGACCTGGGGGCCCGGCCCCGACCCCCTCCGCCGCTCATCCCCCTCACGGCCGCCCGCCCGCCCGCCGCCTCACGCACTTGTTGGTCTGGTGGTAGAGCCCCTCCATGACGGCGCCCGCTCCCCGCAGCCCACGTCGCCTTCGTTCGCTTCCGGCCCCGTCGACTTCCGCTTCCGCCGGCCGCGGATACACACACCCCGCCTCTCCTCAAGGCGCCTGCGCCGCCCGCAGCGCCAGGGGCGGCCGCCAGGGGGCGCTGCCGGAGCGCCCTCAGAGAGAGGGGAAAGATGGCGGGGGGGGGGGGGGGGTGAGGGTCTCTCTCAGAGGAGCGGTGGGTGCCCCATCCCTGGCGGTATTCAAGGCCTGGTTAGACGGGGTTTTGAGCAGCCTGGTCTGGTGGGAGGTGTCCCTGCCCAGGGCAAGTTCAGGGCTTAATGCCAAAACAGAATTTGTGCTAATACATTTATGTATCAAACAGGGCTGCCCAGTAAATAAATTCAGAGTGTCAAAGCCAGAGCTTTCAAGGCCTGGACCCAGAGGTGGCTATGGGAGTTGGGATCAAGGCGGGAGGCCATCCCAGGAGAAAGCAACTGAGGCTCCAAACGAGTTCCTGATGCTGGGCAAAGGGACACAGGGTGCAGGATTATTGCAGTTTCATCTGATCCCTGACTGGGGAAGGCAAAGTGGTTTCTTGTCCCTTCTGCCTCCTTGGCCTTGTTGGAGGAGGCTCTTCTGTTCCTGCTTTCTGGATTTCATTGAGAAGGTCAAACTGAGACGTGATCAGCAGGGAAAAGGTACAAGGATCTCAGTCATGGAATCGTCAAACCCTTCCCCCTCCTCCTAGGGCTCCCCTCCCTCATCCAGAGTCCCTCCCCATCTCTCCTGGAGCCCCTTGAGGGACTGGAAGGAGCTCCAAGGTCTCCCCGGAGCCTTCTCTTCTCCAGGCTGAACCCCCCAACCCTCTCAGCCCCCCCTCCCAGCAGAGGGGCTCCAGCCCTCCCAGCATCTCCGGGGCCTCCTCTGGCCCCGCTCCAACAGCTCCATGTCCTTCTGATGTTGGGGACTCCAGAGCTGGATACAGTACTTCCAGTGGGGTCTCTAGAAATCAGGTTGATGTACTTTAAGATCTCTAGAAGTCTAGGTGACTAGCACACATGAAGATACAGATACTGAGCAGGAAGTAAGAGGAATCCTGCATCTAGGCATCCCTTCTAAAATAGCTGTTCCAGCTCTGTGAGCATCATAACCATCTTCTTTGGACCATGCCTTGCTGTCCCATTCAGTCTTCCATTTTCATAGAACTACTTTAATTCCAAGGACTTGTTCACATGTGGTCATGGTCAGCTCAGGGAACTTATTGTGCAAATAGCTTTATTTTCTTCACAATCCTGTTTTTTCCCATTACCTTCAGACACACTGAATTCCCTACCCCAGGTTATCACCCCTTATTCGTTGTGTAACCGCAGAACCTCTTTGTCTCAGGGCTGGCAGTTTAGGCCTTGCTTTGTTTGAACTGCTTTCAATTAGCACATCTGGACAGAGTTTCTTAATTGTTTTGACCACAACAATTGACCACAGTTGAAGCCCCAAACCTTTCTTGTATGTGCTGGACTACAAAACCTGACGTGTTTTATTGTCATAGTCTGCTGAGCCACTGGAACTCCTTCAACCTTTTAACTTTATGGGAGAATCAGGGAGAAAGTGGATTATCAAAAAAAAAAAAAAAAAAAAAGGTAGGTATAGGCCAGTTAGCCTGGGCACCAGGACATTAGAAATGCTGGTTCAAAAATTGCTGGATTAAAAAGATAAAATTAGGACTATAACTCACCATGGTCAGTTTTCTTTAATGGAAAATAGTACTTGTCAAAAAACATGACTTCATGCTAACAAGTCAATGAGCTTGATTGGGAAAAATTGGGAAAGAGATATATTCTATACAGCATTTAACTTAATACCACAAGATCGGTCATTTAAAAATTAATAGGAGCAGCCTGTGCCCTCATGGACCAGGGGCAGGGTACTCGGTTCTTTCCTTCGCCGCTATTTCTTCCCTCTCTTAAGTGTTGTCTTAGAATCATTTAGGTTGGAAAAGACCTTTAAGATCATCAAGTCCAACCAAGTCCAACTTGCTTCTCAGATGAAGCACAAAGCTTTCCGTGTCTGCCCTGCCCTGCCATGCAGCGAGCCAGGTCTGTGGCAAAAGATTATCCCCTGTATATCCGATAGTGACTCAAACCACAGGAATCACATCAAACTAAGAATAAACAACATATGAATAAAAAACATTAACTGCAGCAGGAACAGATACATTCAGTTCTTTTCCTTTGTTCTCCTGTATCTGAGTCATTATACCCGGTTTTCAAACACTTTCTGAAAATAGAGAGGTTGAATGAAAATAGATGCCGGGATTTCCCTCCTGGCCAGGACTTTAAGGAGAACTACAAGAGTTTTGATGAAGTGGCAAGCACTGAAATACAACAACGAATTTCTGTTCTTTTGTGAAGAAATTGATTTTTGCCAGAAACAACATGCTGCAACCAAGCCTCTGTTCTTGTTAGACTTCAAGTCCTTCCAGGAGGAGTCCTTCAGCAAATTGGCTCATTTAGACACAACAGCCAGGAGCATGGAGAGTAAAAAAAAAAGGTTTTGTTCAAGGAAAGCCTCTGTATTGTAAACAGGATAAAAGGGGATGGAGAGAGTCACTTATCACTGTCTGATGTGTCCCCAGGTCATTCCTGTGCAGCATCTACTGGAGAAAAAGGATTTCATATTCACTGCTCCCTCAGAAACCCCAAGCCAACTGTGGGGATTTTCTCTATCACACAATCTGCAGACGGTGTGTGCATCCAGCGGCGGCTTCAAACCCCGTCGGTGCATTCCCCATCGCTTCCCTCTGGCTCCTGGTTTAAAGCCTCACAGCCCCAAAGGGAAACCTGGATCCTTGCAGGGTCTCCTTTGTTCTGCCTGAACTAGCCCCATTCCCCTTCACAGCTACGGGACTTTGTTCTCGCTCCCAAAAAACAGACCTTGATGCTCTGTTTAGAATCATAGAATTTAAAACCAGATCCCAAGAATGTATCTCTCCCTGTTTCCCTAAGCATGATCCCAACAGGCACAGAAACTGTCTTCCCCCCTCCTTTCTCCCTCTCTCCCTCCCTCTCTTTTTCGGGCACACAAAGTATTCCCCAGCTCTTTGCATGCTTTCTTGATACTAATAACTGTGGCTTTAAAAACAAAGGAGTGCCGAACCCGAGGGCATGCCGCGGAGGCAAGACATTTAGATGAATGCTTGATGGAGACTCCTCACTTAGTCCAGCTGCAGGCCATGGGGCTGCGTGTCCCAGCCCTGACAGACTCCCTTACACAAGCCAGACCTCACAGCGCGCCTCTCAGCATTTCAAGGCTGGGGAAGTGGAGAAAAAGAGAAGGGGAGACACGACAAGAATGTTGGAGACTCATCTATCAAATTTCTGGGACTGTTGGGTGATGTGCTGGACCCAGGTCTTCCTGGGCAGTAAGACTTTTAAAGACACATTGCACCTTCCTTCCCATCTTCCCAAATTAAGAGTGTCTCCGCACTACTATCGCGGTCATTTTTGAGACTGATCTATGGCCAGGAGAGTCAAATGTTTGGAACATCATTCCCTTCTTCATAAATGTACCATAAATGTAAAGGGTGGGGAAGGTCAGGCCAATGGGAAAAGAAGTCAAGCAACATCCCTGCCATCTCACTAACTCCCTCCCTTCTGCAGTGATGCCAGGGAAATATGATAGAAAGAAATAGAAATAGAAAGAAGAAATAGAAAGAAGAAATAGAAATAGAAATAGAAATAGAAATAGAAATAGAAATAGATAGAAATAGAAGGAAAAAATAAATAAGCCAGTGGTGAGAAACACTGCAGCATCCCCCAGCCTTAGGGATCTTTGAGGCACAAGTGGCTGGAGGTTTGGAGAATACTCTGGGCATGTACATTTGCCTCATGCTTTTATTCTTCCCTGGGTGACAGGGGACTGTCACAGGTCACTGCTGGAGAGGAAACACTGACCTTGATGGGATTTGGTACACGCACTGCACTGGGTATGTTTGGTACCTCCACCCCTCCATTGCGATTTATTATCATAATAACAACTAAACATGGCTCAGTTCTCCATGCAGGAATTGGAGCCCCTTCCAGTATCTGAAGGGGGGCTACAATAAAGCTGGGGAGGGCACGTAGTGACAGGACGAGAGGTAATGACTCCAAACTGGAAGAGGGGAGATTGAGGAGAGATCTCAGGTTGAAATTCTTTGGTGTGAGGGTGGTGAGAGCCTGGCCCAGGTTGCCCCGAGAAGCTGTGGCTGCCCCATCCCTGGAGGGGTTCAAGGGCAGGTTGGAGGGGGCTTGGAGCAACCTGGTGTGGTGGGAGGTGTCCCTGCCCAGGGCAGGGGGTGGCACTGGATGGTCTGTAAGGTCCCTTCCCACCCAAACCATGCTGTGATTCTGTGATTCCATGACTGAGATCCTTGTACCTTTTCCCTGCTGATCACGTCTCAGTTTGACCTTATCAATGAAATCCAGAAAGCAGGAACAGAAGAGCCTCCTCCAACAAGGCCAAGGAGGCAGAAGGGACGAGAAACCACTTTGCCTTCCCCAGTCAGGGATCAGATGAAACTGCAATAATCCTGCACCCTGTGTCCCTTTGCCCAGCATCAGGAACTTGTTTGGAGCCTCAGTTGCTTTCTCCTGGGATGGCCTCCTGCCTTGATCCCAACTCCCATAGCCACCTCTGGGTCCAGGCCTTGAAAGCTCTGCCTTTGACACTCTGAATTTATTTACTGGGCCGCCCTGTTTGATACATAAATGTATTAGCACAAATTCTGTTTCGGCACTAATGTAGCCCTGAGCTGAATGCATAATTTAACACTTACATAGGAAAATATTAGTATATGTGAGTACAACCATGTGCTATTATTCTGATTTTTCCAGGGGTCAGTTCCCTGACAGTCAGTCTCTCTGAAATGTGTCAGGTTAAGATTTCCATCAGAATTAAACAAAATCATCAGCTGCTTTGGGAAATTTTAGGCTACTCTTTTCCACTGAATAAACAACCATTTACTAGGGCTAATTTTGGCAAACTGGTCCAGAAAACTGTACTGTTTTGTTCATTAGTTTAAAAGGTTAAT